TTTCACTTTTATATGATTTTAAAATGTTGGCAAACTTCAAAAAAAAAATCATGGCCGACAAATTGAGAGAACGGTTCTACCTTGCTATGTTTTTATCATGGTGATGACCGTTAAGCCTCAGATGGGTTTTAACATCAGAAAGTCGTTTTTGTGTAAACTGCAGATAGGAACCCAGGGGTTGCTTTTTAAATTTTTCGTCATATCTTCAGCATTTGCAGTCGCATCTTAAAATGTGATATACAGATATTCTTGTTTTGTTTTTTTTTTTTGTTCCAAACTTCATTGACCACAAGTACCCCACCAGATCTCTGCTCCTACCACTCTAATGTCTGTAAATTAAAGTTCGCGAAAAATCATTAAACTTTTGCTAAGGTAGTATTTCCTTGAGAAGAAATTTCGCTTTTTTGCCGAACGTAGGGGTCGCCTTTAGCAATTTTTCTCCATATCTGCGGCATTTACATTACAGTAAACTAAAACTCACCAAAAAGCATTAAACTTTAGTTAAAGAGTAATTTGATTATTCCAGTGGTACTATTTTTAACCAGTTTTATCGCCGAATGTCACCGAGTAGTGGAAAAAGGTCCGACCAAAAAAATAAAATTTTGTTGTTTCGAAATCGCCTTGCAAAAATACTTTAGACTCAGGGAAGTACGGCGAACTATTTTTGTTTGCTTGTAAGGTGGTACGGTCTAATGTACTTCTAACAATAGTGGTGGCCAGAAAGTAGCAGACAAAAATATAAATTCAAATTTTTTAAAATTATGCAGTAAAAATAATGAAAAAAGAAAAAACACACAAGTTTGTTTTGCAAGAAAAAAACAATACCTAAAAGTTTCTCGCTATACTGGTATGTAAATATATGTATGCGTCAAAAACAACAGCGAACCACATGTCGTTGAAGTAATATGGGCACCTGTATATGGATGTGTGTATGCATGTGCTATGAAAACATATGTAAATATATACATACATTGTACTTATTATAGGCAATTGTAAATTTCTTCGCATATGTACATTAGGGTGGTCCTTAAAAAATCAAATGAAAGCTTTTTTCAGGTTCACCCCCTCAATCGGTAATACCACGGTCACAGATATCACATATAATTTTTGGTCCCGATAGCAGTGGGTTAAGACGTCTTCATAGGGTAATCTGAGCTTTGACCCCTATGCGACAACGCGTTAACAGACTTCAATCGGGACCAAAACTTATTTTGCTTCCCACATTTAAGGACCACCCTAATGCACATATGTGGCGTGTATGTATGTAGATATGCATGTGTTTTTGTGTTAAATCTGCGGCAGCAAATTGTTCATACATTACGTTGCAAATTAATTGAAATAATTTACTTGAGCTTGAGCAAATGAATATGCAAGACTCGTTTCATTCGCTTTCCTCACCAGCTCTTCGTATCTTCGCATTTAATAGCGGATACTACGAATTTTAAAGAGGGATTTATGGGATTAAAATACAATCGCTTGTGACACCATGCCAGTGGCCATTGAAAACATATATGTATGTAGTAGTATGCCACTTTCACAATGCATTGGCAACCAATTAATTAAAGAATTACAACAATGCACTCACTCGTATGAATGTGTGCACTATGCGCTACGCGCGAACTCGCCTAATTGCATGCGAATTTATCAAACAAATAAATACTTAAAATTTTTTTCTTTAAATTATTTACATATATGTATGTGCATAACATATTTATATGTAGATATGTAGATAAGTTTATTAGTGTTGCTTGTAACATTTAAAACGCCAAACAGGTCTATTCTGAGCTGGTAACATTACCTTTGTAATCGGTAAATAAAGTGTCTGTAAATTTTTAAACCCTTTTCGCATTCTGTGCACTCTTGTAATCGGTAAATTTTGTTACCATCTCATAAGCTGGTAAACAAAATATTGCCCCGTGAAATATGCAATAGAAGAATTTCCACAGATCTTTATAGCTGAATTGCTGAATATTTTGAGTGCAAAGTACATACATAGTTAGAATCGCAGTGACAAGAAGTGATAACATTTTTATACCCGAGCGCACTTGTGCACAAGGGTATTATAACTTTGTTCACTTAACGGTTGTTTTTTTAAATATATGTAATTAGCCAACACTGTTCAGTTTTCTTTTCTGGATAAATTTCGAAAAAAAAAAAATTTCTCTAAGTGTGGATTGTATATAGAAAAACAATTTCTCAGTTTACCCAGGTTGGCGATTTTAAGCGTTTTTTTTGAGTTGAAGTTGGTAGTCACAGAAAAGCTTTTAAAACAATTAAAATTGATTTGAATGCAAATATTTATAGCATCAAAAGGTCTTTCTGGGGATTTTAGGGAACGCGGAATCTTAATTTTCAATTTATTTTTTCCAAAAACGGCCGATTCGGGTGCGCTACGATTAAAAAAATATGTAAGGAATAGGGTATTCACGATCCGGCGCATACTGTTTAGCATGGTGCATAGATAGCATAAATAGCGTGATTGGCTAATTTTGTTGTTGTTTGAACACATGAAACAACAACAGTCATGCTATTTATGTTATCTATGCACCATGCTAGACAGTATGCACCGGATTGAGAATACCCCTAATGTTTCTTCATGTTTTTTTTTTGTTTTTTTGCACAAAAGCGCACCCAGCGGTCGGTTTTGTGTATATGATATGTTTAAATATGAGTGTCAAACGAAGGAGACTTCGCTTTAGTTTGCAAATACTTTCCATTAGGGTTGCGAAGTCATTATTTGTGAAGGTCTGCACCGTTCCTTCGAATTTAAAAAATGAAATGTTATATTAAAAAGCTTGGTCTGTTATCGGTACAGCGGATTTGAAATTAGAGAAACCGAGCCATGCGAGACTTCTCTTCACTCAGAAACAGCTGGACGGATTTGGATGAAATTTGGCACACTGACTAACATTGGGAATATTTTTTCACTTCAGACGCGAGTGGAATCTTAGTATTACAGCGAACAAAAAAAAATAATACCTATGTATTCAAAAAGGTCAAACCGGTTATAGTTTTAGCGAGACAGCGACATATGAGCCGCATGTATTTAGTATATTCGTATATTTATGTACATACTTATGACCTATGTATATTTATAAATGTATTATTTATGAATTAAAACAGTATTTATTTTTCAAATGGCGTGTATGAACATATGTATGTACATACATGCATCCTCAGCTGGCATAACTTTACAAGAACGCGAATTACGGGCGTAGGATGAACAGAGATTTTTTATTCAAGCACCAAAGAAATATTTGGTAATGCTGTAATGGTTCATACAATTAATTAATTGTCTGCATTGTTTGATGCCAAATTTTGTATGAAAGAATAATTAATTTATTTCAACATGTACTTTTACCCAACATATTTAAATATGTACAAACATATGATTGAAATATGACAAATAAAACTATATTCTATTCTTGTATGTATTCTTGCAGGCAACTGTTGCATTACCACTGCTAGCGACGGCCAAAAGTAGCCGCACCGCAGACAGTCTCTAGCAAATCGCTCGCAAATCTACAGCACAAAACCAAAGCCAATCGAGAAAGCAAGCAAACAGCATGTCTTCGGTTACACAGCATACGGGCAATCAGCCGGTGGCGCAGCAAAATGGTAAACAACAGCCAACGGCTGGTAGCGCTGTCACCGCCACCAACAATAACACACATGAAAAAGTGGGCGGCAACAATGGAGCAGCGGGCAATGGTGCCGGCGGTGCAAACTCGAATACGGAATCCTCCCAACAAAGCCCCACCAAAAAGACAAGTCTATCGACTAAGGAGCGCGTCATTGACAGCGTCCCCTTTCCGCCGAGCCGCAAGCTAACAGCGGCCGATGTATTTGACGCACGCACTGGCAAGCCACACCATGACGTACTTAAGCAGCACTTCATACTTGAGGGACGCATCGAAGA